CAAAACGACGATCATTTTTCTAATTTCATAGATAACAGAAGACTGTATTTTTTCTACATAACCCCCCCTGACTTTAAAGCTGGATCCGCCCCTGCTCTGGGTAAAGGTTCTTGGAGGAACGTTTCCTCTAAGGAAATTTAATTCCCTGTTTAATTTAGAAACTTATATTTCTTGTGATTTTTCGAATATGGGGCTTCGTGTAAAGATAATCAAACGATTAAGTAGTTGCAAGGTCCGAAAATCGGGGCTTTGATTGGAACTATTGTGCGCAAAAGGGTCTCTTTTATGCCCTATAGCATTAAATATTGAAAAGGTTGTGTTAGTTGCACCCGTTTTTTCTTACCAAATTTTCTACAACGCACCTCTGACTATTTTTCATCCCAAAATGTAATTATATGGTTAATTTAGACCCGTTTCGGGTTTTGAAAAAATAATAATTAACCGTTAATTACCGTATAAAAAATTATACGGTAGAATACTAGGAAATCGCAATTTTCTCTGTAATCTGGTTTCGTTGCAAGATAATGCGTGATTTTATGTCAATCAATCTTCACACAACCAAATTACTACTGCTATAATTGCTTACCTTGGCTGAAAGCGATTTCGAAATTGCAGGAAAAGGGTCGGACGAAGAATGTAAAATAGCAACTTTGAAATTGAAACCCAACTTTAAGATCATGATGATGGGCTCACTTGAACAAGATATTGAAGCGGCTAATACTGCCCCTGCCAATGTTTCTGAAGTGGTTAATGACTTTGATATTGAAGGTAGATTTCAGTAGCTTTTTTTTAGCTTTGGGACCAAATTCAATAGCTAATAATCGTACATGTCGAGTATATTAAAATCCCTGTTTAGATGAAGAGATAGCCATAGAATTCCAAGAGATTTACCTCAATAAAGTAGCGAAGCGAGTTAAAGACTATGAAGTGAAAATACTCAATGAACTGAGACCTGGCAAGAAATTGCTGGTTTTGGATATAGATTACACATTGTTTGACCACAGGACAACCGCACAATCAGGTTGGGATTCTCACATTAATAGACGCAAAACTTGCAATCAAACTCTTTTGAAAATAGGCGCGGAATTAATGAGACCGTATCTGCACGAATTCTTAACGAGCGCTTATGAAGACTATGATATTGTGATTTGGTCAGCCACCAGTATGAAGTGGATAATCGAAAAAATGAAGCTTCTGGGAGTGGATAAACATCCCAGCTATAAGATCGCCTTTTATATGGACTATTTAGCAATGATCTCTGTAAACACACCAAAATACGGCCTAATTGATGTAAGGTAGTTGATTTTGCCACCAAATTAACCTGCAGTTATTTTCAATCGGCAGGTCAAGCCTTTAGGTGTAATTTGGGGAAAATTTGAACAATTCACTACGAAGAATACCATAATGTTCGACGATATTAGAAGAAATTTCATCATGAACCCTAAAAACGGGTTGCGTATCAAACCATTTAGGGAAGCTCACGTAAACAGGTAGAATGCCGTCAATTGCTCTGTAACCAATTTGGTTCTTATCAATACTTTGTAGATATAAGGATGACGAACTTCTTAAGCTCGGAAAATACTTGAAAGACCTTGCAGAGCACTCCAGCGATTTTTCCACCGTCGTTCATCGACATTGGGAGAAATATAAGCCCAAGAAGAGACGGCATGCTACAGACGGGCGGGATTGCAAGGATAACAAAGAAAAAGATAGGCCAGGCGGGGCAGCAGAAGGCTAGAAAACGTTGCTGTTTACCTCAAAGTAAGAAAATGTGCTATGTATTTTGAATATTAAACCCTTTACCGCAATTGGGCATTGTCCGTTGTCGTTGTCCATCAAGCGCGTATCTTAGCTCTAGTAGGTTGAGGATATAAAAATAAATTGCTGGCAAAAAAACTGTATTGCTTAAAACAATTAAGCTATCTTTAATATCACATACTAGATTAAATCAAGCACATTGCAAGTATTCATTTTTTAAAACATTAACTACGGGTTTTCTCCCTAAAAACAAACGTTGGAAGCACAATAATGCTATTGATAAAAATTCTCGACTCAAAAATCTAAACAATTCAACAATATTTTCACGAAAACAACGGAGTATCTATTCCATTTTTCTAAAACGTCGGGTTTAAATTGCATAAATATCGCGATCCAAAATGTTATTAGTTACCATAATCTCCCTTCAGGAACCTAAGCTTCGGTTTACGTAACCCTAATTTCTAGTGAGCAACAATAAATATTCAATGTTCAACAATAAACGCATTAGATTCCTGCAGATGCAGTTTAAAAAATCATCTTAAGTAGCGTGGTTAATATTTTGGGCAAAATAATTCGAGTACACACGTAAGTAAAATCCAGCTGATAGAATCGATTATTGCGTATTTAGGCAAAGCGACTCGGATAACGCAAAAATTGGCATTTTGGCCCGTGAGTGATAATAATAATTTTCTAAAATACTTGTCGGTTAGCTACGATTAACCGACATCACACGTCTCGAAATGCCTCCTATATAATTTCTACATAAATATCAAATCACAATAATTGACAGGATAATAATTTCGTCCTAATACTCCTATACTTTTCTCCGACAAAGCCTTCAACTACAGCTATAACTTAGGCCCTTTCAGTATATTACCAGCCAGTTATAGACGCTATGAAAGCCCTAAAGGGCGATTAACTTACATTTGCTATTTACCCATTTCTCTTGCAACTTCCTGTGCTCTTCCATGTCTCTGGCGCTCACTTGCCGTACATGTCCGCTCAGTTTTCTGGGGTCCAAATTGGCCCCAAACGTCTGCACGCCCTTTGCCAGCTTACTCAAAGGCGAGAACAATTCTTTGGCTGTGGAAACTGGACCGGCCATGGCCAGCTTGTGCTTCAATCCAGAGTCGCTTTGGCTTTGACTGATGTTTTTCTGGATTTCATAATCCGAAGCCGAGCGATCCATCTCCTTGTGTTCGATTACCAAGGATGGATCATCGATTTCACCGGATGAATGACTGTGCTTCTGGTCCAGCTTTAGGAACTTTGGTGGATCGATTTTTGGGTCCCCTGATTGCAAATGCTCAGAGTTCAGCTAAAAAAATAATACGTTTTGGTGAAGATGCGATAAATTGGGGGTTTTTGGGACCCACTTGGATTTCCGGCATGTTTCCCATGCACGGGACGGTCTGCATTATGCTGGATAGTTGCATATTGTCAAGTTGAGCAGAATCTACTCGGCTAAGCAAGTTTTGCTTTTGTGTCAACGTGGCTCCGCATTCAGTAGCGTTAAGTGAATCGGTGGTGTTGATCGTTTGGCCCATCACTATTCCTACGCTAGGCAAGAACACGTCTCCGCTGCCTACCAATGATTTTTCTGTACATTCCAAGCCTATAACAGAAAAAATAGCGGGTTTTTTGATTTGATTATTGCTTGTACCTTGTTCAACACTTAAATCCTCGCTGGAATCGGACGGATATTGGGGAATCTCACTTTCGCCTGCACCATGAGGCTGAAATATTGAATTCTCATACTCGTCCTCGTCTGATTCGCTGGAACTATCTGGTTTCTTTTCCTGGCCGATGGTGAAACTCGGCTTAGATTTGAGTTTCGATTTCAACGAAATTTTGTTCAGCTTGGAAAACTGTTGGGTCATATTCGAGATCGCTTTCGATCCTGAGGAAACATCGGATTTTTTGAGGGCTTTGTCAAGTTAACTCATCCTAGACTTACCAGCGTTCTTGATAGCAGAGAGCTGCGTCTCCGAGACGTTTCTGGTAATTTGAGGAATATTAACTAAATCCAAATACATGCCACTGCTGGTCTTTTCCTGGACAGTTTTCGATCTTCTTCTATCCAAGGGTTGTCCAATATTAAAAGTCACTGGCGGTAAATCAGCGATTTCTATTGCTACAGCAAATGCTTCGCAGATGGTTTTTAAGGACTCTGCAATAAATTCCTCTCAATTCTCATTGCACTAATTCAAGTGGTTTTTTACCTATTTCTTCTTCAACGCTTTTAATCACCACGGCCATGTTGTTGAAGAACCTCAAATGAGTGGAGCGAAACATATGGTAATACCCTTTGATGTTGTTCACTTTGTAGTTGATTCTGATGCAGAACTTGTTTTTGTTGCTTTTGAATAAGTTGCTTGAGGATTGAGGCATGCCAAACTCCAGCAAGTCAATTTCTTGCAGCTCCACTTTTTGGTACTTGGTCACTTTATCAACCTATATCGGAATTTTCATTTGAAATTTGTCACGAAAAACTACCTTTTAGATTACTTGATCGTCATAGTCGGCCACGTAATAAGAGTCTCTGGTCAAGATTAAAATGGTGTCCATTTCAGTTTCGCTCGGGTCGCCAGTAGAAGGATCGGCGTTGATGAGGCCCCAGGCGCCCACCACTAATTCCGGCCGATTAATCAGCATTTTCTTACAGTCTTCGATCAGAAGTTTCACGTGCTCTGCAGTTGCCAAATGGTCCTCTTCATAGTTAGATTTTGCCTCGTTAAACAAGTCCTCCGATACGTAATTTCCTGAAAGATCAAGTATTTGAGGCAATCGAAGGGCGAAAAAGTGAAAAAGCGTACCCAGCATCATGTCTATAGTGCCCTGTCGCGAGGAATCCTTAAATCGGCTCAGATAATACCTAAAAAAATTATAATCTCCTTCAAAGCTAAGAAAAGGATTTTTAAGGCTTAATTCAGGGACTAACGCGAAACAACTCTACAAACACTGTTTAGTCGTTGGCCACTTGCTAATGCTTGCAGTTGAGTAGCGTTATAGTGTTAGAGGCAAAACTTCAAGGAATACCCAAAACATGTGGATTGTTATCGGCCTTTATTAGTTCGGACATGAATATCGTAAGTAATCTTGGGCACTGACCTAGAAATATGATATACAAGATTGAGGAGCTCGAATTCCGGTTGCAAGGCCAAATGAGGCGCGAAATTGGGGGGCTCTTTTGGAAGATATTCATTTGCAATGCAACCGGCCACCCGTAAATAGGCCCAGAAATCTTGAATTTCGAATTCGAGTAACTGGGCACCTTGCGCGATATCTAAGGCGCATTGGCGCACGGAATCCTTAAAGTGATTCTTAAGGTATCTACAAGAGGTTCAGCAATGTCAGCTACGACCAGTAAAAAGCGACTGAAGAACTGCTGTTACCTGTTCGCAGAATTCATGCCGTCTTTCATTATGCCGGTGAATTTTCGCTCTCCAGTGCGCGTGTAGTCACCCTGGCAAATAAAAAACGCGAATTTAAACGTAAAGAAACCTCCGCTTAACGGCGACTTACTTTAAGGGCATTCGTCCCTGCATACTGCTTGCTAATGGCGTCGCCATTATTCGCCCAGAGCAGTTGAAAGGTGTTTTTTATATTCGCAGGAATGTCGCCTTCCGGCGACACCAATCCGAGTTTGCAAAATTGAATTTCCATTACGGCTTTACCTAGAGCGGTCTAAAACAACTTCATTCACTCAAAGCGCAGTTTAAAATACCACCGTTCCCTTAGACAGGGGCGGATCCAGCTTTAAAGTCAGGGGGGGTTATGTAGAAAAAATACAGTCTTCTGTTAACTATGAAATTAGAAAAATGATCGTCGTTTTGTGCAAGGGTGGCGCAAGATTATTGCAAAATTTCATGTTTTCCGTC